GTGAGCCTTTTGTTTGGTTAGATTAGTATAGCTATAAATAGAAATTCATGTAATTTTTTGAATAGTTTTAATCTCAAGTAAACAAAGGCAAATTGCCAAATTACCAAAAAAAAAAAAATATTAGAAATATAACCTAAAACCTTAAGAAAAAAAAAAAACACAAAATAATACTTAATCTTTTAAGAAACTCGAATAAAAAAAGCAAAAACAGCAACTATATAAAAAAAAAATTAATTTAATAATATAATCTTCAATAGATTTGTAAATCCTATAATATCGCATACCTCAATCTGGCACACAAGATTTTTTAGCTATGCTACACACCCTACATTTACCCTAGATGTGTAACATAAGTCTAATTACAAACATAATGCGGGTTATATACGAAAGCTCAAGCTACAATAACTCTTGAACCAGCAAACCCATACAAATAAAATTATATTTGTCGGGTTCGTTATAATGTGCTCTTTAACGTAATAACGCTCTTTTTTTATTTCTATTGTCTGGAGCGTAGCAGGGAACTCAAAGAATTTTCGGTTTTGATTGATTAATCAAAACATCAAAAATGTAACTATCGTAATATGCACAGAAAATTCCAAGTTACATTTTTGATGTTTTGATTAACAATCAATCAAAACCGAAAATTCTTTGAGTTCCCCAGACAATAGAAATAAAAAAAAGAGCGTTATTACGTTAAAGAGCACATTATAACGGACCCGACAAATATAATTTTATTTGTGTGGGTTTGCTGGTTCAAGTGTTATTGTAGCTTGAGCTTTCTTTGTTTTTACTATTTGTGATCTACAGTGCATACGTAACCATAAAACGATCTTTAATGTATTGTCACATGACTACAATGCATTCCATCTAAATACTGCTGCGCCGCAGAAGCACAACATAAATAGCTTGCATCGTAATAAAACTTTTCATTATTCTTATAAGCGACTTTAAGACCTTGTTTTGATAATACAAATTACACATTCGTTCACAATGGTACATGAATCTTTAAGCTTGTAGGTTGCAGAGTAGTGGTGGTTAGAGATGCGATCCATATATTCGCTAGCTTTTTGCTGTTTTTAATTTTATCATAAAATTATAAACAGACGAGACGGATATTTGGATATCTGTTAAGTTTAAATATGTAAATGGATAACGGATCGCGGGTTGGGTCTAGTGTATATAGCACATTAAACAACTAACGTTTGTCTCGTTTGGTTCGTCACGAAAATATTTCATTATAGATATGCTACAAATGATTCGTACATTCTTGTGCCATACTATCTTGACCCAACTATACTAGCTCACACCCTGGTCATAAACAGAAATACCGGTGCATTGGTACTTAGCGGTACTTATAAAACTATATAACACTTTATTTTGGTGTTTTTGAATAAAGATTTTTCTTTAACTGTAACCATATTAAAAAGATCGTGAATCAATCCCAAATGCTAATTCCGAAGCTCTGACAATATTTGGTATTTTTGGTGTTATAAAATTATTATCTGGTAGGTCAAGTAACAATTTTTAAAATTATGATAACTTTGAATTATGATAGCTTTGATTAACTTTATGATTCGACGTTAGGCGAGTATCTTATCGTGATCACCGGCCGGGAACGAATCGGAAGGTTGGGCAAACACGATATTTTTCAGGCAGATCAATTTCGAATTCTTCCTTTTGCAAAAAACAATCTCCGCCTATCTGGACAACAGGTATGATATTAGTATGTCAACGTAGGAATTTCAATATTTAACAAGGTTTTTAAATTAAGGCGCAAGATGAGAAACGTTACTTGTCACTTGTTGAAAGTTTGCTTAAATCTGGAGCCTACTATTTTTCATATACTTACGATTTGACACAAACCTTACAAAGGCAAGCACAATTAGGTGACTCGGCCTCAAAACCTTTGTGGCAAAGGGTATGATCATTTTTTCACTATTTTATACTAAAATTTTATTTAGCATTATTCGGACATAAAGTTACTATTAACTTATTTATTTTTCATATTATTGATAGGCCGATGAGACCTGCCTTAGTAGCTATTGGCCTTCTTTGGGGTCTCTAACTTGCTAGAGACTTTTTTCCCTTTAGTTGTTGGCTG